CATGAGGAATTCGCAAGAGAGCTTTTTTTACAGCTGATGAATTTTTCGCTCGTTAGCAGGAGAATTAAACAATTCAGAATCACTGACAAAAATCAATCAAATAGTAGGCCTCTCTCAATGAAAAATTATATTTTATGATTATATTAATTATAAAATTCAATGATTCTTCCCAATTAAAATTCAATTAATTTTTTCAACTTCTTTTATTTTTATAAAATTGTAAAATATACATGGGTCATCGATAATTTCAGTATTTTTTCCACATTATAGATGCTCCCTTTAACCTCATATATAAGGAGCAACATTAAAAATTTTTTTGTTGTTGCCCTACTTCGGGGGTCTCTCAAATTCTCCAAACGGTCTCTAAATAGATTCAATGATGTGGGAAAAAATCTTCACAAAATTGGCTGCTGTTTTTGGATATCCTTCTCCCCGCCCGATTATCCTTAATTTAATTTTTGCAATTATCTGTCCGGAGACCTATATTTTATAATGTCGGAGCAAAACGAGAGATTATGAACAAATTCATATATAATTATGTGTGGTAAAAATTACTGAAAAGACCCCTTAAGGCTTAACTACGTGATTATCAACGTAACATCCACCAGATTAGGTCAATCATGTTTTACATTAGCATGTAAATATGCAGCATCGCACTTACCTGCATAGCCGGAGATGTAATGAATCCTATAATGTAAACAATTCAGTAGCGAACTGCTCAAACGGTTTCAGTCGATTTTGGTTATTCGCCAGTTTTCAATGAATATCACGAAATCTAAGGGAGATAGCAAAATTTTCCTCATAAACTTTTCAGTAGCACTCAATTCGTTCTACAAGAAAGGTTATTATGAAAATTTCGCTATCTTTCTTAAATTCGGAAATATTTCTGGAAAACTGAATTAAAAACTAAGTTGACTTAAACCGTTTGACCCCTTCGCTACTGAATTGATGTATGATAAAAGGAGCAATCGAATTTGTGAAGTCAGACCTGGATGGGACTTTGACCCATATAATTATCATAACTCTTGTATCAAGTCAGACAACACAAATATTATGAGTACTCTCCACACTGTATACATGAGAAATAAATAGTTCCATAAAAATGTTGACTAAGGGATGGTGTGCCTGTGCCGCCCACCTAAGGGGAAATGCCAGTTTTATATTTTATATTTCAACTTGAGTATAAATAAAAAACGTATTTGTGAGACTTCTTTAACTATTGAATTCGTTATTCTCGAAGTGTAGACGCCTAATTCTCCTTAGAATCCACAACATTGATTGAAAATAAAAGAGAGAGCCTATTGAGCGGTACTACCCGCCGTCGGGTAATACCGCTCGGCACGATTCCAATGCCGCTCATAGGGTTTTGCGTGTACCGCTCGCGCCGCAACCTAATCTGCACTCGAGTGCTGTCGAGCAACTACGTGTCCGATCCTATGAGCGGTATTACCGGCTCCGCTCGGCGTCAACGAAATTGTTGATAATTATTGACATGAGTGGAGTTTTGAGTTCGAATTGGTCTCAAATTACGCGTGAAAGTACCACGAATCGAATAACCACAGTTTAATATGAGAATTCAGCGTTTGAAACTATAAAAAACCTTAATTAAAAGTCCACAAATTTTGCACTGTAAAGACCTCAAAACTTCGTTACGTGTCTTTTCATATTTAAAGTGGTAAATAAAGTGAAAATTTTCCGACAATCACATCCTATCATCAAATTCTTCATGATCAGAAACAGAAAGAAATTTTTAAGTTGATGGTTGCGGAGAAAATCGGGTGAGCGGTATTACGCGCTGAGCGGTGCAGGCACACCCTCCCCTACCCGTTTTTTCCAAGTTTATTCAATTCTCTTCACCAATACTTTTTAACATTTTCTTCCATCTCTCACTATCGAGATGAATTAACAGTTATAATAAATTTTGTCAATTTGACCTATATTTTCCTTCTCTATTCAATTCACAAATTGTTCCCTCCGAATCCCCCCGACCCCCGCCCTCTATAATCCTGAAATCCTCCCAACATCAAATGATATCACACACTCCACTGAATTCATACGGAAAATCGACGATGGAGATCCCGAGATTTTAAGATTGGTCCTTTCTGCTCCCTGCCTTCAACAAAGAAATAAAAAATAATGGAAAAAAATATATGTCGTACATAGGCTCGAGACATGTACGAGGAACACGAGAGGGAAAGAATGCGAAAAAGACCTGGAAAAAAATGAAAATAAAAAGAATGAGAAAAAAATTCGTTTGAGTATAGTGCAGGAAGGGGTTTTAGTACGAAGGTAGGATGATATTTTTAAGATGCAATTTCGTCGCAAATCTGTTGCACTACCCCAGATGGTAGTTTCGCATCTACCCAACAGTTTCCGGCATCCTCGCTGTGGAAAAGGTGCACCCCTCGAGCCTGGAGCAGAAGCGAAGATCGTGGGGCTGGGCTCCTCAGTACTGAGTACAGAGGAAGGAGTAGAGGAGCAAAAGCGCGTTACTTGGGAGAGAAAGATGAGTACAGAGGCCGGAATGAGGAACGAGTGGAGGTAATGATGTGGTATGTAGCGTAAATATTTATTGAAGTCATTTTATGTAGAATTTTAAACAACAGAGGATTTGTCTTTGCAGTTCTGTTGAACATTGTCGGCTAAAATTTGTGGTACACTTTGTAAAAATTTCAATTACGTTGTAGTTCCACTGAAATGTTAAGGAATATCGTTATTGAAAATTAGTAATTTGATAAAAACCTTAAAGGAAACTTTGAATTTTAATTAAATTATTGCATGAAAATCAGTAGAAATTCGGAAAATTCAAAATAATTTGGTACTGAATTCTTCATATTTCGATTAACAGTTGAAGTGCGTTGAAGAATTTTCATCTTCCTGCTGTTCAAAAATTCAAAATTCCACTGAATTTTTTGAGGAAATTGGAATTTTAAAATTTCAAACGAATTCACTGCGCAGCGCGCAATGAAATTTAGGTGACGTGCGCATTAATGAGGCGGGGCAAGTCAGTCAGCTGGTGGTCTGAGATGATGGGCGAAGGGAAAAATTTTAACAATCATTTGTGTAAAAAAAGGAAGTGTGGAGCATAATTTTCCGCATCGAATGTGTTGATTATTGTTTTCTCTACAAATTGGAATTTTTTTCCTTGATTCGTTGAGTTAAAGTGAAACTGTTGTTGCCTGAGGCATTGAGAGGGGAATTTTTAATATTTTTCAATTAGTAACAATAACTATAATTATGGACGTTTTTAGGAATGCATGTTTGGATATGTTAACCCTCGATCACTCGCTCAACGAGCGCGGCGCCGCCAGATGTAGTTTTTTATATTCTAGTGTGTTTTTCAACGCTTAAAAATTCTGAAAAATTAGAGTTTCTTGTTCAATCCTTTTATTAAGCGTTGGCGTTGTCCGTTTTTTTCCCGGGAAATTTGTTCAGCTAAGAAAAGAAAAGAAACGTCGAACGGGCAGAATAGCGAGGCCGCGTCGCCCGATGCGAGTGAGTTCCTGTCGACCCCTGGAGGGACAGTGTTGCTACATCCACTGCCACACTTCAAATGCGCGCATAGCGGTAAGCGCCAAGGTGGCAACAGCGCGCTCGATTTAACTCAGCGGCGTCTCACTAACCGTGCGACGGATGAAGGCTGACGGCCGAGCGCACATAATCGAGGGTTAATCAAGGCAATTTTCTGAGCACCCCAGTATTTTTTTTTTGCACAAATTTTATTTTCGGGTTGCCATGGACAAACGGAGTATATTGGCTTGACTAGAAGCGAAATCATAGGAAGTATCCGCTGTATACAGTAAATAACGTGCGAGATAGAGAGAATCGAGTGAGTAAACGCAGAGTACGTTGCAAATGTATTAACTGTCTGAATAAAGTTGTTTTATGTTACTGGACCCGATAAATCGCAATGGTCGAGACTGTCACATAAAATAGTTTACATCACACGGCCGGCAAAGTATTTCCAGACGAATGTGACTATAATCAAAGCCGAAGGCGAGGTAATGTGAGCAACTCACATTAATCAGAAAAAACTTTCCGAGGCTAATCGTCTTATTGATACGTAAAATTGTATCGTCGACTTATTTATTGGTCATCCAGATAAAAAGTTGAGGAAAACGTCAGAGGAACTCTCCTCAAATTTCGGAGCCAGACCGCTTTCTTACACTAATCTTCTCTTTAGAGCTGTGTTAAGACGATACTTCTGGGATGTGTTGAATTTAACAATCCTCCTCGTGTCTATAGTTAATTATTTTTTGAAACCAAAAAACTTGAGGTACATATGGCTCATACGCTGGATAATCCAGGGTTAAAATCTCCGCCATATTGGATGGTTCTAATCTAATCTAATAATCCGTCAATTCTCCCCGTGGAATGAAAATCTATCATCATCATCACCAAAATTTCAGAACTCCTTCAGCCCGGCCCTAGAATCCAACTATTCAAAGTTGCCAAGCTCACTCAGACGATGGCTGGCTTAATACCCCCAGACAGGGATATGGGATGAGGTCTCGCGGACGATAGCAGCCCCCGCTACTCCGGGAAGATTAGACCGATTGGGATTAAGGGATTACAAGATCCCACCGAGATTGGTAACGATCGACGAAAAGATTCGGTGGGAGACCCCGGCATCAGCCACAAAGTGACTCAAGTAGATAAAGAGGAAGTGAGCGGATCGGAGGTGGGTCACACCTTCCACTACATTATGCAAATATTTATCTCTGTATCATTCCACTTCTCATATCTCCATTCACATCATATCATGTTGAATATCGTGGGTTTGCTCAGGTAAGACCCACAAGTGTTCTCAAGGTCGAGAAGAGAAAATATCCAATACAGAATTTTTCTCCGGCTTCTGGAGTTCTTTAGAAGTATGATAGGGGTTGGGGCTCTTGAAGGTGAGTTAGTGGGATTTTGGGATTACAGAATCACTTCCCGCTGTTTCATTTTTCGTACGTAATTCTAGAAAAGAAAATTTAGGAGTGTTTTAGGGGACTCACGTTGTGGATCCAGACGAGTTTTGATATCGGTGGATTTGCGTTAATGTGACACTCGAAGTAAACGTCGTCTCCCTCCTTGATGTCCTCTGGGGTAAGGGTTGATCCCAGGCTCAAGGACACTATTGGTGGATCTGGAATAATTAATCGATTTGGATTATTCTGATATTGTTGGGAAAGTTTTACGAGGCTTGTTTTCATAAACATGGAATTATCAGCCATAATGCTCCGAGTGCTCCAAAATTGTTGAAACTTTGACGATAGTTTTGTAGCAACGAGAGAGAGAAGTTCTGCAGATTAAAATTTTATTGCAAAACTTATCCCGATCGTTGATATGCAGGAAAACTTGAGACACATTTTCTACAATTTTAGGGCATACGACTGTTGAATTATTCTCCATTTGAATTTCGATCAATAGAAATGCGGCATTTGATGTTTTTGCGGGTTATAGCCTAGCGACAGGCGCGCTAACCTCCCAGCGTTCCTTAGGGTGACCGCCCATGAAACTAAATCCACACGGAGACTCATCCGCGTACACCAATCAGAGCCGAGCAAGTTAAATTGGCGGGAAAATCTTGCGATCTAATTGGTTGTACGGATGCGTCTCCATGTAGATTCTGTTCCATGAGCATTCACCGTTAGGCGCGCGGTGGGAGAATCATTATTAGTGACCCAAAAATGAAAAATTGCAGTTGCAAAAAACAAATGATAGAAACTTTTTGTTGCAATTTCGAACTGCCACTGAATGCCATAGCCGCACTTGATAGAATAAAATTATTCTGCAAAATTCATGTCCAGATCAAGGAAAGGCTGCACATCTACTGACTAGAATCCACATCCAATTATATACATGTTTCAGTCGTTTTTACTTTGAATGATATAAGTAGCGTGTTTATTGGAGGTTTAGTTCAAATTCAAAATTCAAGAGACGGAGCTATAAAGTTAGAACACCCAAAAGCTGCCAAAAAACGCCGGTGAGACGACTAGGCCCTTTCATCAGATACGCAGCTTGCGCATGGCATCCTCCACAGTTCAATGATCAACGTATTAACAACTGGTCCCCTCTATATAATACTGAAGAATCTACAGGAGCCACTGATTTCAAATATATTGAACAAATTTGTAACTTCTTGAAATAATGTAACCTAAGAGTCTCAATTAATTTGCACTTGCGCCTATCTGGGTTGGGGATGAAGCCATTTGGAATAGAAGAAGAAGAAGAAGTCTAGATTAAACAGCAATCAACGGTAGATCTCAAATTTCAAGAATTTCTACGAATCATGTGTAACAAACGGAAATTTCGAACAATTTATATATCCAATGGCAGTGTAAATAATTTTACAATAAACAGAGCACTTTAAACAATAAAAAAGAACTTGAATTTAATACTCCGTTGGCACGGAACAGATACACTAAATCACCCAAACAATCTCTTCATCAAAAATAACATCCACCTCAGGAATAATTTCTTCATCTCCCCGATTTTCCCTCAAACCAACCGGAAAAAATGGTTTCAACAGTCCTCTCAACCTCGTCAACCCCCTTTAACTCCACTCGACTCGTCATTTTCGTAACGTCGTAACACGTGAATTTAAGCAGGCACAACGAGGCGAATAAAACTGTTGAGTGAGGAGGAGGGTCTGCTAGTGGCGTCGTCGTCACGTCGAGGGAATGATAAAGGACCGTGAGATACGTTTTATCGTACAGAGGTTGGAGACCCCTCGTAGAATTTCATCAACGTGATAGCGGCTCAGGTCTACCGTCTATACTCTCCTTCTTCCCTCCACTCTCTAGGCTCTTCTGCCTTGTTGAGCTAACGCTCTTCCTCTCGCACTGTCAAAAAGTATTTGAATTTCTTTTCCTCTCCTCTCGCTCTTTTCACTTTTGTCGCAACTTTGCCGTAAGTCGACGTCCGCTGTTTTCTCGCCTCTCCATTCTTTCTCAAAAATTTTCTGTTGACGTTCAGAAGCGCGAGGACTTCACTCTGATCTGGGAGCCCATTTTTTTTTATTTTTCAAACGTTTTTTCGTCTCCTCATCACACTTTTCTGGATCCACAATCGCACGATGAGAACCGTGTGACAGTAATCTAACTCGTGGAGGCACTCGATGGAGGTTCTCGCTGGAGTATGGCCATCGTAAAATTGAATACGTGACGCAACGTAATTTTCTGGGGATGTGCAAACAGACCAACGAGCGATACCAGGGGCAGTTGGTGCATTTCCTTGCTGGAAATTTTTCGCTTGTTTGAGAAATTTTACTGGGAGTTTTTTTGCGGAGTACTGAGTGTTTGAGAAAGGCGGGGGAGATTAATTTTTTTAATGATGAAAACTCTTGGGGAATGATTGAATGTAGGTTGATGGGGGGAGTGGGAGAATTGGGTTCTTGTTGGGGAAGGATTCTTGTGGGAAGTGGGAATGAGGTGGGAATGGACGTTTAATGGGGTTTTTTGGGTCGCCTCAACGCCCCCTTGCGGTCGAGGCGAGTGATTATTTCCAGGCACTTGCGGGGATTCCCCTGAACGTATTCGGAGCATAATTTAGGCAGTCATGCGTCGGTATTGTGTGAATATTAAATTGGCGTATTTTAAGAGAGACAAAACATTTTTTAATGCGGTTAATTATTACACACCATTGAATCCCTTCATTTTTTCATATATGTGATGTTTTATATCAAGACTTTGTCAATGGAAATTGTAATTCCTATGTTGGAAAGTTGAAGCATCTGCAATAATCGAATGACATTCTTTTTTATACGATTATTTACGGCGAATTAAGTCGGAATTCAAAGTAAAACTTTGCAAGTTGCTTATTTTTTCTAAAGAAAAAAAAATTAATGAAGAATAATTATTTCAAAATATTCAGATGACCTAGAATGACGTTACATTTCTGGTCCGTCAGAGCCATTCCTTGTCTAATTTTTGTCTTGGGTATCAATCAGAGTGTTATTAGAAACAATTTTATAAATGTATGAGGAAAGAAACGAATGATCACCGACGATGATTGACGTCAGTTTATTGCTGGCACTGGAGCGGAGGGAGAGCCTCGTAGTGAGTGAGTCCCGAAGTATGACATCATTATCGGTTCGTTAAGACTATTTTTTATTATTTTCATTGAATGAACGAAATGAAAAAACTGTGGAATTCATTACATTCTGAGCTTTTTGAAGTCTAGATAGATAGATAGATAAAAATGCTTTTTATTCAGTCCTAGGATAAAATGATGCCCTAAGTATTAACCAATCGAGTACATAATTTCCAATGTTCATGTTGAATAAAAACGACTGGTTAGCAATTATTTACTTTGTAATTGTTCTACAATTTTCAACATTATGTTTTCATCCCTTCAATTTTATTTCTTTATTTATTAAGATATTCATTATTATTTATAGATAAATAATTTCAATAATTTTTTCAGAAAAAAATGGAAGAAATATCTCTTTATAAGAAAACCACAAAACATAATGCTTATATTATACATGTAGAATGTATGTAGCTCACAACAAATTGAACATTCACAAGTTCGAAGTATATAATGTAGTATATAATGTAGAATTAAAATTGCACAATATTCAAGTCCCTTCGTTAATTTTATTGATAAGGAAAAAACGAGTATTAGATATTTAATTTTCATTAATTATGATGTGTGTGTGGGTAGAACATTACTACTAGACAAAAAATATCCACTTTCGAAGCTCTTTACAGAGAAATAAGGTGGCTTAAACGCGTGAGATGTCCAATATAGTCATTCTCATTGAAGTCTTTGAGGGATTATTCTCTCAGTGTTTTTATCAACAGTTGTAGGAGCATTTTATTTTATTGATTGGTTATGTTATACCCATGCACGAAGGAATTATTACTGGACATTGAATATTGATTTTTTTTCTATGTAAATGGCATTGATTGGGGGAATTAGAAGGGGAAGAAATTATTGCTAGGATGGGGTTTTGAAGAAAAAATATCGCGAAAGACATTCTACGAAAATTTGGAAGGGAAAAAATGTCGAAAAATTTTGTCGGGGACAAAAAGTCCGTTAACACACAAAAGATCTTTTCAAATTCTTTGCTAGAAACGAACAAAAAAATTTAATAGAAAAACCTAAGGAATTTGCTAGACAATTGTATTGGATTTCTATTGAACTTTCCGTGGCTCAAATTTTCTAGGTTTTTTTCTTTCCATTTTTTTCTCATCAAGAACATCAAACAAAAAAACTTCGACAAGGAAAATCGAATTCTATCAACTTTTTTTATAGAAATTCAGTAGTAAAATGGTCAATCGGTTTAAGTTGACTTAGCTCCCAGTTGAGGTTTTGTTGAATAACTCGGAATTTAAGAAAGATAGTGAAATTTTTGTAAGATCTTCTTCGATAGGCTTCACTTTTCTTTACAAAAAAGATTTTTAGGAAAATTTTGCTAACTCTTGTAGCATTTGAGATATTCATCGA